ATTTGTCGGTAAATATATAGAATGTACATGAATGTTTTTTGGTGGCTGAGGTATTTAAAGAGCGTATTGTTTTACGGTTTCTGTCAAGTTCTACCAGACTTAAACCAGGCATGAATGGGTTAATGTGGGTATGTGGATATCAGCTGATGGGTAATAAAAGCCAATAGTGAGATTTTGCGTGAAGAGAAGTTAGTAAGGAGCACAATTCATCAAAGCCAATTACCACAAAATATCTTTCTATTATCGATATATTTCTATAACATGAAGAGTATTCTAGGAAATCCTTTTGCTTTGTTCATATGAAGCTTAGGCAGTTGGGTATGGTCTGTAAAAAGTAAAAAGTCCCTCAGTTTCAGTCTGAAATCGTAGGATTGCAAGTCTGTGCACCCCAAAGAGCAGCGACAACACAAACAATCAGAGCTTTCCATTGGTCAAAAGGAGTGTACAAACAATACTGTACTCTTGTGGAAAAGGAAGTCTTAAAGGCCGATAAACACGGTGAACCGCACAAAGACATTGTTAAATATCCACTGGCACAAATTCTCCTAACCTATTGCCCTGTATATATTCTCTCACACATAAAGAGACATTACCATTCCCAAGTCTTACCTTGTCCCCGTCGGACATTTTTCCTGCCTAGCAGTCATTCAGCCACTGCGGATATGCGACGGGCCAAACGACTGTCGGCTTGACAGGAGCAAAGTTCACAGCAGACTCTTTACGGGATTATCTATCCAAGCGAAGTGACTGGGCCAGGCTGCTTAGCAGATTACCTATCTCACTACTAAAGATTAGAGGATTGGAGGAACGGGGGGAGAGAGGTGATGTCAGGAAAGATGGGAAGTGAAGGGAGAAGCCAGAAAATAGTTAAAGTGTCTGATTTCAGAGCTTCATAGGTAGATGAATAGATACAGGCAGAGACAAATAGAGTCTTTATCAATCTCAAGAGTAAAATCACCAACATATAGGTACTGAGGAGCAGAGATTTTCAGTAACGAAGTAGAACTACTTAAATACCAAAATGCAGTATCTATACTTTATTGGAGTATATTTTTTCCTCTACTTTTACTTTTACTCCACTACATATTCTTGATTAATTTAATACTTTTCCTCCAATCGATTTTTAAGGGTTGAATCGTTACTCATTACTGATATGTAAACGTAATGAATCATCCCCAAGTCATAGTGTCAAAGCCAGAGCTGTAGATAGCTCTGTCACGGTTTGGGAAGCTGGCTCCTCATTGGCCGATTTGAGCCATCAAGCATAGCCTATCAGAAAAAGGTGCCTCATGAAAGATTGTGAAAACATGGCCTTCAAAAATCTAATCTGAAGAAGCATATCAAGGTAAATTTAAAAATTCAATAAGTAAATAGTAAATAAGCACTAGTTCAGTTTTCTTTGTTCACTCAGCACGTAGCAGCTAACATTAGCTAAAGCTAACCTAACTGGTTAGCTGTATGCTCCCCCCTTACATGCTAGCATAAAGGCTCAGCTCAGGATTCTGACTGGAATAATAAATAATAGTAGATGAAGTGCTGTTGATTGCTAATGCAGATGTAGTTTTCTGTTTTTTGTAAACACCTGTGTGGCCTTTCACACGTTTGAAATAATATAAACAATATCTATCAAACGTTTGACTGCCTTTTTTTGAATGCACACAGTACTTGTACTTTTACTTATACTTTCAATACTTCAGTAGCAATTTTTTAAATACTTCTACTCGCAATAGTTAAGTACAAAAAAAATGTAGTACTTCCATATTCCACTTAAGTATGGTGTTGAAAGAACACTTCCACTTTTACTCAAGTCAATTTTTTTTATATAGTACTTGTACTTGTACTCCACTCCTCTACTCCAGTATTTTTATACATCTCTGCTGAGGAGCAGCAATGAGAATACAAACTTTTATCAGTTTTATGAATCAGACATTAAAGTACTTATGGGTGAAGAAACGAAAAAAAATGGGAAGAGAAATGTTAAATAAATGAAGGAATACCAGTAAAAAAATAAAATAAAATAGAACTAAATTAAAAAATCATCAAATTAAAGTAAACTCAAATGAATAAATAAGGCAAAAATATAATTTGGAGATAAAAATAAAGAAAAACATACATGGTGGAGGTGGTTAGTGTGGTGGCTATAGTGTGCACAAAAACGGATGGTGCAAACAGTTCCTCCTGGACCAAGAAATTGTGCTTTGTAATGGCTGACTAGCATGATGATGGTCAGCGTTTTTCTGAAGTTCCACTTTCTGCACCTGATCTTAACGTCCAGGTATCCATCATCAGTCATCCTAATGCTGCCACCTGAGCATAGAGCGATATGAAAGAGGACAATGGCTATCAGAGACTGGTAAAACGTGCCGAGCAGCTACCTGCATTTCCTGAAAGAATCCAGCCTCCTGAGGAAGGAGGGACTGCTATTCCCGTCCTATAGCTGACAGCCTCTGATGGTTTTCGTGCAATCCTAAACTTCCTTTAAATTGTTTTGCAGTTTCCATCTGAGTGAAAGGCCCGTTTTTTTCATGTTGCTTGACATTGCTGGTAATCCAGGGCTTGTTTTCGGGGTGGGAACAACAACATTTAAGCATTTAGCAGCCGCTTTTATCTAAAGCTAATAGAAAAAAAAAGAGGGTTTAACATTCAACTACAACACCAGTTACACACTTACCTTACCTTGAGTGCAATATGCGAGAAGACGATTTAACATTAAACTACAACAGAGTACCATACAATGAGTGCTGTATGCTATCAAGAAATAAGTGCATTTAGAGCTTTCTCAGGACAAGAGATACTCTTGGAAGAGCTGGGCCTTCAAGGATTTCTTGAAAGAGGAAAGAGAATCCAATGCTCTGATAGTGCTTTTAAGATGAAAAGAGTCTAGCTTGGGGCGGCACGGTGGTGTGGTGGTTAGCACTGTCGCCTCCCAGCAAGAGGGTTCTGGGTTCGAATCCCGGGGGAACCAGGACCTTTCTGGGGTGGAGTTTGCATGTTCTCCCTGTGTCTGCGTGGGTTCTCTCCAGGTTCTCCGGCTTCCTCCCACAGTCCAAAAACCTGCATGTTAGGTTGATTGGAGATTGGGGAAATTGCCCTTAGGAGTGAATGTGAGTGTGAGTGGTTGTTGGTCCTTGTGTGTCTCTGTGTGTCTCTGTGTGGCCCTGCGATGGACTGGCGGACTGTCCAGGGTGTACCCTGCCTCTCGCCCCATTGGCCTCTGGGATAGGCTCCAGTTCCCCCCCGCGACCCCATCAGGGAATAAGCGGTATTGATAATGGATGGATGGATGGAGTCTAGCTTGACCTGTACACGTTAGCTGGGGTTCGTTGGAGGAACGGAGCGGGCAAGCAGTGAAATTTAGGTAGTGAGAAAGTGCAGTATGCAACCACCTGTATGTTTCCACAGGAAACTCCAGACAGTCAACTTAAAACAGCCACTCTTAGCTGCGTCTGAAGACCGTTTCATGGTGGAGCGCATGGTGGTTGGTTGTCTGCGGACAAGTAGCGTGGGATTGCGGTTCAGGAAGGGTTGTTGGGTTGCTCCCTTATGGGAGTAATTCAATTATCCTGCTATTCCTGGTAGGACAGTCCACATACCGATGGAAGGCATGTATGTAGTATGTCCAAAGACTCGATGTATAGGCAGTAAACAACCTGTTTTACCACCGTTTCTGTTCACCGAAAGCTCGTAAAAAATAGAATAAGGCTTGCTCGAGAGGCTGTCACTTTCATTGGCACCGAGCAACACCCGGGATGTACAACACCACCTCATAACAAGGCATAATTATGATTCATTTTTCCCAATCAGGAGACAGATTTACAGCCACTTTCTTTATTCCTGTAATATATGAGCTTTCTCTGCTATCCTGATCTGTTTATATACACAAGTAAAGGTTCATTGTACCATCTCTTTAAACGTTAATATCCCTTTTCCACGGAAGAAGCTCTTGTGCTGGTTTGAAATGTGTGGCAAACAAGCCACAAGAAGTTGTAATATCATGCTGATGTGCAACATGCTGAACACAACATGCCCCCCCCTACACACAAACACACACACAGGTCAGAGATGAGGTCCGTGTCTCTAATCCAAAGCCAGTTCAGGCACCCAGACAGCACAATAGACTGGCCGATATGCACATTGTTGTTGTGTTCCTCTACCCATAAATAACCCCTCATCAAAAGCACACACCCCTAACTCTGTCTGACATCCAGAACTGCCAGCTACCCGTTTGGAGACACAAAACACGCATCTATATATAATTTCGGTTGTCGTCTGGCCTTCAGAAATAAGTCATAAAATTACAAAGTTTTGAGTAAATATCAATGAAGTGCTTAACTCATTTGCTGCCAAAGACGTCTATAGACGTCTTTTCAAATCCAACCGCTGACTGCCAAAGACGTCTATAGACGTCTTTT